ACTTTGAATTATTTAAAATATCTTAGAAATCTGATGTTGCTACTTGCTTTCGTTTTGTTTTTTCATTCTTTTAGCCACTTTTAGGTACTAGCTACCATTTAGTTACGTTTAACCACTGTTTTGCCTCTTTTAGCTACTTTTGCTAAAATTTTGCTACATTTATCTACATTAAGCTTCTGACCTTTTTAGCTATTAGCTAAAATTTAGCTACTTTTGCTACTGTTTTGCCTCTTGTTGTTACTTTTAGGCACTTTTAGCTATTAGCTTCCATTTATCCACTTTTAGCCACTGTTTTGCCATTTTTAGCTACTAGCTAAAATTTAGCTACTGTTCTGGAACTTAGAGCTACTAGCTGCCATTTAGTTATTTTTAGCCACTGTTCTGACACTTTTAGCCACTGTTTTGACATGTTTAGCTACTAGCTACTATTTAGTTACTTTTAGCCACTGTTCTGCCTCTTTTAGCTACTAGCTATCGTTTAGCTACCTTTTGGTCCTGTCTTGCCACTTGAAGTTTATTTTAGCCATTGTTCTGCCACTTTTAGCTACTTTTGTCACTGTTATACCACTTGTAGTTTATTTTAGCTGCCTTTCTGTTATGTTTAGCTACTAGCCACAATTTAGCTATTTTACTACTGTTCTGTCACTTTTAGTTACTTTTAGCTACTGTTCTGGCACTTTTAGTATCTGGCTATCATTTGGCCAGATTTTGTTATTGTCTTACTAATTTTAGCTACTTTTATGTTGCTTTTAGCTTATGTTCTGCTTGTTTTAGCTCATGTTTTACTTATTTTAGTATCTTTCTTGCTTGTTTTAACTTTTCACAACTTAGTTGTAGCTTCATTTGCGAATTTTACCCAAGTCATTCGGCACTCAGCACATTTTTTTACCACTTTGAGATAAATTACTCCCAGATAATTATCCATATTTAACATATTTCATCTGATTGATTATTACCCTGGAAATAGTTTGATCATTATTTAAACTAAATGAGTAAACAGGACCGAAAGTGAAATAAAGCAAGGTRATTTTGTCAAATTAAATATATTTTAAAGTGAAAAGCCATAATAAAGGTGTTGTTCCAGTAAATCAGGAGATGAAACCCAACAGAAGCTGCAGAGCTGCGACAGAACACGCTGAACTCTAAACGTGCTCGTGTTTCCGTCGCAGGCAGGGGGCTGGTGTGGAACGAAGACACGGAGATGACGTTCACCAACTGGGAGTCGCACAACGTGGCGTTCTCCGTGCTTTCCATCAACTCCTGCTTCTGGATCCAGAGCAACAGCGGCCTGTGGAAGCCCGGCTCCTGCAGGAACCGCACACACGGGGTGATCTGCAAACGGCCTCGCAGTAAGAACGCGTCCTGTTTCATTCCACRAGCCAACCAGAGCTGCTGCTAACTGTCCGTGTTTTCCGCAGGTGCTGAGTTGCCRTCAGGAAAACGTAAGGCGGACGATGATCTAACCTTTGATTCAGTTTGATTCTCTGGACACTAACAAACTTCCTTCGTCTTCCCCAGTGGATGCTGACCACCTGCCCACTCTGATCGTCGTCATGGTGACGGGCCTGGTGCTGGCGCTGCTGATCGGGACGGTGGTCTTCYTGTACCGCCGGCGAGCCGTGGGGTCGCGGGGCTCCTACGAGGGGGCCCGGTACAGCCGCACCAACTCGGGCCTGGCCGAGCAGGCGGAGAAGAACATCCTGGTGTCCGACATGGAGCTGAACGAGCAGCCCGAGTAGCTCCGCTCGCACCCCCCCGGACCCCGACCGACCGGACCCCACCTCGCACAGGAGAGGCTGATTTCAATGAGCTGACTCAAATTCCAACGTGCTTTTTACTCTTTTTAAACCACAAAGAAATGATATTTTTAAAGTGCTGAAAGGCTGTGCAGAGCGCAGCAGAGCTGTAAAGTTTTTTAACTGATTCTCCAACTTTACAGTTAGATTCTTCCTTTTTCACACAAAAGACCCTGATGCCCACCCCGAACAGTTTTTATGCAGCCAACAAAAAAAAAAAACTGAATTTTTATAAAAAAATAAATAAAATGCCAAGGTTCTTTTTATGCAGACTTTAATGTGAATATCCAGTTACCTTTGAAATGAGGTTCTGTCAAACAGTTATTAGTTACTGAGAAAAGATGAAGATCCAGGCTGGGCTTTTGTTTGACCTTTTTCAGGCTCATAAATACAAGTTGTTGGGAATAAATTTTTTATAAGCCTGAAATAAAGTCGGTACTTGTTTGAGTTGGAATCAGCCTGGATGAAGACTTGGGCAGCAGGGTGGTCGGGTCCTCCAGTTTGATCCCACAAAACAAAAACCTGCCTGTTTGGTCAACTGGTAACTCCAAACTGTGCCTAGTGTAGGTGTGAAGGGACRTTTGTCTTCATGTGTCCCTGTGATGGACTTGCATCCCTGACTGGACAGACTCGATGCTTCATGATGTCACCGTTAATACGGTACAAACTCCTGCTAACTACCTGACAGAACATCTCTTCAACRTTGACTGAACTCTCTTTAAAGGGGACATATCCTGCAAAATCCACTTTTTTAGCCGATAAATACGTTTTGTTGTGAACTTGGAGTCTCTAAGAGGCAGAAAAGTTKAATTTAGTCTCACCTGGTGCTGCAAAGATATCTTTATTTTCYGTTTGGGTCGTATTTTTCTACCCGTCCAGAAGTCTTCTCTTGTTTACATCTTTTARTCAATTTGTAAATAAAAAGTTTCTAGTCGTAAACCCCTCTATCAAACTAGAATGGACCRGTYTGGAAGCTGGAGGGGGCGGGGCTTGGATTTAAAGAGACAGCCTCATRAGGAGTTGATCTGAGACACGCCCCAGAAAAGGGGCGGGGCTTGTGGAGYTAAAATGGGGAGGAAATCAGACCAAAGCATTGCAGTTCCACTTAATAAAGACCCCATGAAGGATTTAGAAGCAGGATATGTCTCCTTTAAGGTGGTTTCTCGCTGCTCTCTGAGCGTTRGCTGCATTATGAGCAGCTGGTTTGTAAAAATCACAGCTGTCTGCGGCTTGCAGCTCGTTTTCTGTTCATGACTTTTTTCTGCTTGAAGTGACGTTAGGCAGATTTGAACCAGTTTTTAAATCTTTTTAATCAATCATCCGTGTGGTTTTTAGGTGGGCTGGAGACGTCTKTGACTATTCCAAGAAAAAAAGTTGCACAAATTTTTCCGAGCACGTTCAAAAACTGAAGAAACCGTGCGACTCCCCCAAGCCGAGCGAGACACCTCCTTCACTCTTTGTTCGGCTGAAAGCCTCGAAACTAAAAACCCCTAAAAACACCCGGTTTATTTTCTTTTTAAAAAACGACCACACGGTCTTTTCTTTTATCGATGACATTCTTCTTTCTGCTCTTCTTCTCGATGCCGTGTCAGTATTAACCCAAACTTGAACTTTTCATTTTCTCGTTGTGATTTTTTTACATTTTYGTGTCGTTATCTGCGCAGCTGTAGAGGACTGTTAGTTACTAAGCATGTGTGTGTGATTTTTTTTTTTTTTACAAGTCTGCCTCTCTGCTCTTCTCTGATCCGACACGTCAGCAGAAGTGTGTCGGGGGGTGGAGGGGGGGGGACGTGTTGAAAGTGAAATGGACCTGGAACTGTCTGAGCGCAAACACTATCATTATGCACATAACTTTATAGTGGAAGCTGGTCTTTAAATAGACTCTATTGTCTTATTTTAAAGCAGAGCAGGAGAGGGGTTTTTGTTGCAGGGTCAGATTTTGAGCCACCAGGACCTGATGTAGCACTTTGTTGTTGTTGTTGTTTTTCTCCTATTTTGATCTGGTTCCATCTCAGTCCTCCACTTTTCTTTAGTTTTTAGTTCAACTTTAGTTTGTCTCGGCTCTTTGTGTTTCCATCTGGATCTATTTCTGCAGTTTTTCAGCTTAGTCATTTTCTTTTGCATGGAAAAAAAAGGGGTTTGTAATTTGATATCTATCATTTTTACACCCTGCAGTTCTTTCCTCTGTACGTTGCATCAGCTCTGTTTTTACCTTGTAAACATTGCATGTTTTGTAAAAGTATTTGACTCATAAAAACAAGTGTTTTATGCGATATTTGCCAACACTTCCTGAGATTCCTTCTGTGCATCGCACAGTTTAAAAACCCCAATCCAGACTTTTATAAGAAAAAAACACGCCGTTTTTTTTTAAACTTCTTACGATTTCATTCACCTCCTCAGACGCTGAACTTTTCACCGTCAGCTCTCGCCTCAGTATTTTCCTCTCCCCCTGCTTGCAGGAATGCTTTTGGAGCTGTTTCAGTCTGAGGCTTTTGGTGTTTCACTGTGAGGAAGAAAAAAAAATAGGTTTGGGGGGGGAAGGGAGGAGGAGAGGTGTATGAGTGTGTATATTAGTGTGTGTGTGTAGTGTAAGTGTGTGTGCAGTCTCCAGCTGTGGAATGTTGAGTCGGCAAGAAGAGCTCAGTGGCACGTCTGGAACCAATCAGAGGAGGAGGAGAGATTTTAGGGACACAAGGGGTCAAGATGAGAAGGAGAAAAAGAAAACGTGTAGGAGGAGGAGGAGAAAAGAAAAATGGAGTGGGAGGAGTCAGGGATGAAGGGAGAGGAGGAAGAGGAGTTGACAGTGTGTCCTCTGCTGGTGGGTTTCTGCAGGAGAATTTAGTGTTTGCTCTCCCKGTGAAGATACCTGAAGGACCTGAAAAATAAAAATTAAAAAAAATCTGTCATTGTTGTATATGAAATTAATAAAGTTTATGTTCTCAAAGCTTCTGCAATCAGATCGATTATTGTGATTGATTATTTAAGTGCCATGTGTCAAACTGAAGGCCCGTGGGCCAAATGTGGCCCGCCACAGCATTTTATGTGGCCCACGACAACTTCAAAGATGTATTAATGTTTTAAAATAAGCCACTTTAAAGCCGTTAACTACATTTCCCATAATGCATTTCAGTTATTTYACCCACAAAATGATGGCATCCCACCACTAAGTGGAGCTCTTGTCAAGAAAAAGAAAAGAAGG